TCAATTGGCCAGAACGAAATGTAAATTAAGTTTGAAGTTGAAAAATCATCACAATTTATTTTACAATTTAATATTGACACATTCATACTTCTTCAATTCACCATATCTCAGAGTAGGGAGAAAGATAAAGGAATCTACTCAGGCTTCATTAAAAAGATACAACAAAACACAAATTTCATATATAAAAGAAAGTTTATACAACTCTAATAAACAAACAACACTTATCTGAAACTCTTTCTAAAGCAAATCCCTTCTAGCCTTTCATAGGAAATGCGGGAAGAAGATATCTCTCACTTTTCCTCTTCTCCAACACTCTTAGAGATAGATTCACACTCAATCTCACTACAAAAACTCTAAACTCTTAAATAAAACTCACTAATTGACTACAAAATGATGGTGGAATGAAGATGGAAAAGTGTATGGTGTGTAGGAGGATGAATGGAAACGAGGAATAGAAAAAAAGGAGCCCTTTCTCTCATGAATTTCAGCCCCATATAGAGCCTTAAGTCGGTTCTCCAATAGGTGCCTCAAAAATCTCTTAAAAAACGTCCAAATACATCGAATCTTCTAGAATTGGTGGATGAATCGACATTGGCGCCGTTGGCGCTGTCCTGGCACCGTCGACGCTGAGTAAAATTTACTATCTGTTCAGTTGGTCTGCACCATCGGCGTTGCCCTTGGCGCTGTCGGTGCTGAGTATTTCTTTAAAACGCTGAGTATATCTTTAAAAATGCCAGTTTGACTCCAAATTTCATCCTTTTCGCTTTAAGCCATAAAATTCAACAACCTGCAAGAAAACATCAATATACCTTCCATTAAAGTGCAATATTACTAAAAATGAGTATAAAATATGGGTCTAAAAAATGCATATATTTTTGGTGTATCACCCTCCCTCAGTTGCTGTTATAATAGTCTGCTGAAAATCTCCTCACTCTTCTTACATTAAGGTGAATAATGATGGGAGTTTTACTGAGTTGGGAGCTGGCATTGGAGGTGTCTTTAGGAACATTCATTGGAATTTCTTACTGTTTTTCTCTGCACCTGTTCATTCCTTGGATGCTCTTGAAGCTGAACTCATTGTTGCTTTTTTTGAGGCATCAAATTTGCCATTATGAATCAATGGAGGTTCCTATAGGTTGAGGTGGACTCAGCTCTCTTATTGCAGCTAATGAAGGATTTGGGTTCACCTCTCCTTGCATATCTCTCAATGGATTAGGAAGATCAACTCTATGAGACCTTTCCTACATGTGCAATTCTCCTCCATCTTAAGGGAAAGCAACAAAACTTCTAATTGGCTTGCCAGGCTTGGACAAAGCTCTTTAGACCTTTCTATTTCTTCATCTCCACCCTCTCCACTTCTCTTCTTACTCAGGGGGGATCTTCTCAAGGTTCCCCATCTCATAATTGTAACTTGATTTTTTTTTATGGGATGAATCTTCCTTTTTCTTAAGATATATATATACATATATATATACACAATTTTTGTTGAAGGGTTCAAGTATATATATATATATATACACAATTTTTGTTGAAGGGTTCAATACATACATACATAACTAAATTTCTTTCTAATCAGCTGAGGCACCCAGTTTTTTATTGCTTGTTTTCTATAAGTCACACAAAAGGTAACTAATAGAATAGCTTCTTTTCTGAAACCTTCCTCCAAAAAGTGAGTATATCTTTCCAAAATGCAACAATGTCAATAAGAAAATAAACTGCAACTTTATTCACGAAAACTTTAAAGTACATTTTGCATAATTAGAAGACATTTTATAGCACCCTTTATTTTTTTAGAAGAACATCTGGTATTATTTTGTATAGGAAATGAAAAATTATTTGTATGGAGTGGCAACTAAGAGCAAATCATTTTTTCTAGATACTGCACACCCAAAATGTTCTTCCATATCCAATTTCTCGGGATTCATTCCTCCAGGGAGCTCCCAATCAAAGTGAAAGAGTAATTGTGCAAGCCAGTACTCTATGCCAGCTAATGCAAATGTTGAGCCTGGACAACTTCTCATTCCTCCACCAAAGGGAATGTACTCGAAGTTAGACCCTTTAAAATCAAATGTCACCTCTTCAAATCTCTCAGGTCGGAAGATGTCTGCATCAACCCAACTTTTTGGGTCCCTCATGATAGCCCATGCATTGATCAAAATCCGACTTCCAACAGGTATTGTGTATCCCTCCAATTCAATTGTGTTGCGACAAACTCTAGGAAGTAATAACGGTCCCGCAGGATGTAGTCTAAATGTTTCTTTAATTACCTTATTCAAATAGGGAAGCTTGCTGATGTCACTCTCCTCCATATTTTCTTTTCCATTGAAGGCATTTCTCACCTCTGATTGAACTTTTTTTAAGATGTTGGGGTTTTTAATGAGCTCAGACATGGCCCAATCCAATGCAGCAGATGAGGTGATAGTTCCTGGCAAAAATAAATCCTAACAAAATAGCAATATAAATAAAAATGCAACTTTTTTAATACATCTAATAACTAGTAAGAAATATGAGAGCATTGGGTTTCATACTAAAATGAATAGCAAAAAATAGAAAGGTAAAAGAATAGTGGGTTCTCGTTGTTTGTGATTTGATCATCGGACTACTTTCTTACATAAAGATGAGCTTTAATTATAATTTCAGGTGATTAGCTTTTGATTAACATTGTACTTGTATTTCCTCTATTTTGATAAAATTAAACATCAACTCTTACTCATTTTATTGAACAAATAAGATTTTCATTTTGTTATTGCTTTATCTACAAAATTATATAAATTTTAATAACTTTGTGATGTTATGTTTACATTAGTGCAAGTCTTGCTATCCTATACTTAGACTTGTAAATGAACCAATGCACTCAAGTTCATACTCAGCTTGACTAATACTTCATCAAGTGTGGTAAAATTAGTAAATAAATAAGTTTGAACAACTTTTAAGAACTTGAAAGTTTAAATGAACCAAGTATAAGCATGATTCAACTTGCTTATTTATCTTCAAGAAAAAATTCAAATTATTCAACATGTAATTTCCTTAATCTTGATATTAAGCTTAAATAAATTTAAACATGATTCAACTTGTTTATTTATCTTCATAAACAAACTCTTATTGTTCAACATGTAACATATTTAATATTGATATTAAACTCAATAATAGTTCATATCATATGTAATATATAATTTGAATAAATTTGATTAATAAAAAACTACAAAAAAAATTAGTATGATGTATGTTTGTACGTTTGTATGTATGTATGCATGTATGTATGTATTTATCTATCTATATATATATATATAGAGAAAGCCCAATGACTAATATATTAAAAAATATAATAAAAAGAAAGAAGGATACAGATAGATTGTGTGAGAGGGCCCAAGCATGACACCCTACCCACACGATAAACACCACATGCAAATGATTCAAAAAAAAAGAAAATATAGAAAAATACATGAGAGCAAAAAAAAAAAAAAATTAGCTTATACACATGAATTCTCTATGATATTCAATACATGACATTTCTAATATTGATTAACTTATAACTACATAAATATTTAATATTTAATATTTAATTAAAAATCCACATTAATTATGCAAGAGCATATTTTTAAAATATTTTGCCTTTCAAAAGAATAAGATTCGCTTAGCACTCAACAACCTCAACCCATTTAGGGTCTGGTTGGGAGCAGCGACAACTGCTTGAAGAAGTAACTATGGAGCTAATGCTAAAAAAGTTGCTCATCAAAAAGCTATAGGAGCTTTTTTTTTTATAATGTGAGACTGTTACTTTCTAGCAGTCACCACACTTAGTCAGGTCTAGTGGCAAAACATAAATTTCAGCTGCAATATTTTTTGAAAAAGCAGACAGAACACAATTTTGTCAAATAGAAAAACTATAGTGTAGCACTGCACCACCACCTCAAATGTACCCTTATTCTCCTTGAATGGTTAATTTTATCTCTCATGCCCATCTTTTTTGCTTTTCGCTTATCTCACTCATGCCCTTCCTACGCAATTAAGTATTTATAAATTTTTATAACCTTTTAATAATTTTAAACTAGCTAATTTGTCATTAATGAATACGCATATAAATTTAAAATAATTCTTTCATATTAACTTGAAGGAACAGGTTTACTAATATTTATGTGTTCTTTGATTAAAACAAATTGGCGTGTTACTTATATATTTTATAATTTAATTAATATAAAATAGTAATTTATTAATTCATAATTTATTCAATTACTTTTATTATTTAGATTTGTAAAATTATTGATGATAATTTTGCATGAAAAATCATGTGCTCATTCAAATGTTTAGCTTATTTGTTAATTTGTTGAAGTACTAATTCAGTTATCATAGATAAGTCAAGTACGTTAATAAAAAAAATGAAAGAAGCCACTTATAAATATTCATGTAATAACACGGCTCGACATCAAGTTAAACAGGAATAACTTCCATTTTGACTGAATCAAATACAATCCATGGCTTGACTCGATTACAACACTACCTAGGCCAATATATAATATTGATTCTTTATTTGTGGTAATGAAATTCATTCGAGGATGAACAAAGCTTCGAAAATGCTAATTCTATAATCGGGAAAAAAAATAATAAGAGTATATATATATACATATATGGATCCTAATTTCTGCGTGAATCACATTTAAGGATTTCAGTGTCAAACAGAAGAACGAGAGAGAGAGAGAGAGAGAGAGAGAGAGAGAGAGAGAGGTGTATAGTGATGAGTAGTAATTTGAATTATTAATTAGACATTTTTGAGGAAATGATCCTTCTAGTTATAGAGAAGGGTGGTACAATATATGAAATTGTATATTCGCCCTTACTTTAATAGGGGAGTTACATGCTTTATCAGGTGTTCTATATATATATA